ACAGTGGAATACGTTAAATGATTTTTGTTCTCAGACCCTTCTGTCTTCAGGTGCACACTGGGGTCATGGTCCCCGGAAACGAGGGGCACTCCCCCTTTTTCAATATAAACAGTTTTGTCCCGGTCAAGCTAAATCCGGTTCCGCGCTCTCACTGCGAGCGTCGTGGTTACAGAATGCGCTGTCTCGTCTCGATGAGCTATTTGTCCGACTGCAGAGACCAGCCTCAAGCATTGCAGACTTGCATATCTTACAGCGTACCTCTAAGAAAGTTTGCAGGTCCCTCCACGGACTCAAGTGCCCCCATGTTTGGCGCATCCCAACTGAACCTTCACTTCTTGAGGTTGCACTTTGCCGGAAGTGGGTTCAGGTCCAATTGCAGAACTGGGATTTTTGTAAGAAACAACAGAGAATCAATGCTTGGCGCTCCCAAATTAAGCATTCTGCTACTTCTACAAAGAAGTATATTTACCATCATCTCAAGACCAAGTCCATAGATGAACCTGTCAATCTAGTCACCGATTCCTCCGGTAATATTCTCTACCAGCCTTCTGAGGCGTTGCACCATGTCAATCAACAATGGGATACTATTTTTGCCTCAAATGCACTGCATGAAGACCCTCTCAGGGTTTTACATTTCGTGTGGCCTTATATTCAACATACCGCCACTCCTATCGTTTTACCTGAGTTGACAGCCGCCGATCTTGCCATGACAATCGGAGCACGCAATCCTCTTGCTTCACCGGGAATGGATGGGTGGCGCACGACCGAGCTACAATTGCTGCCCAGGAAGTGTCTTGAACAAATTGCTGTGTTCTTCAACCAATTGGAGACTGATTGTGGAGGTTCGATCCCTGATGTCTTGCTTCGCGCTAAACAAGCGTTACTTAATAAACCTGGACCTGCTTCGCCCCTGAATAAGAGACTTATAACGGTCCTGTCACCCTTATTGTTGGCTTACTCAGGGACTCGATTTCGCCAGCTACAGCAGTGGCAGCAAACTACACTCCATCCATCATTGTTTGGTGGGATCAAAGGGCGATCAATGGCTGCAGTGAGCGATGGGCTTCGTTTAGATATTGATGCGGCAAAAGTCGACGATCAGCCTCTCACTGGCATCAAGCTGGATCAATCTAAATGTTTTGACCGTATTGTTCCGCCGATCACTGCAGCTCTCATGTTAGCTCTAGGCCTTCCCAAAGGTGTAGTCAACATGTTCTCCATGATGTATCGTGGACTGAAGAAGCATCTTTCATACCGTAATTGGATTTCCCATGTCCCTGTGACCAACGCAAACGGTGTTGCCCAGGGTTGTTCTTTGTCGCTCCTTGCCATTAATGTGCATATGCATGTGTGGGCATGCTTCGTCGATCGTTTTCATGATATCACCTGTCGTGTCTTCATTGATGATGCGTACTTTTGGGTGAGTGTCACAAATTTACATTTGTTGCAACAAGCCCTTCGTACGACTGAGCTGTGGGGACTTATGGTAGGACAGCATTTAAATCACCAGAAAAGCGTTCTTTGGGCAACATCTGCCAATGCCAGAATCCTTGCAAAAGAAGCTTTCCCTCAGTTGCCACTTTCGTTAGAATTCGATGTTTTGGGGGCTAAGATCTATACATCTGAGCGTAATGCTTTTTTGTTCGATCCTGCCAAATGCAGTAAAGTCATTTCCGACATCAAGAATATCTCTAATTTGCCTGTTTCAATCAAGGTCAAAACTGATCTTTTGGGTGCCAAAGTCCTCCCGCAAATTTCTTTTGCAACCCAAATTTCTAAGATTCCCAAGCGTTCGCTTGAGCGTATCCAAAATGAACTTGTTTCTGTATATTGGGGCTCTCGGCCACACTGGCGTTCTAAGATGCTGGTTTTTGCCCTGCTTTCAATCCCGCATCGTGTCGAACCTGTTTGTGTTCGTGCATATAATTGCATTCTGAACTTTTGGCGTTGTATTCATTCTCAGCCATCACGTGTGGCTCAATGCTGCCACATGTTGGCAAGTCCTGAGCTGCCCAAGCATAGTCTTTTATTGCAAGTGCAGCAAGCCCTGTCTCTTTTCCATTTATCTTTGTCTCCAAAGCTTGAGCTTGTTTTTTGTGATATCGCCTTCCCTCCCCTCGAAGTTGGGGTCCGTGAGCTCAGACGCTTATTGCAAGTTCTTGCTGTTCAGTATTGTTATGAGAGAGCTGCAGATCAAAAACGTAAAGACATCTACAAACCTAAGGGCTTTATTGACCCTTTCTTGACTGCCACTTTTCGTCGTCAATATGTGGCTACAAAGGACGAAACCAATCTTTTGCCTTATTTCGATTCGCAGATTGTTGGTTGTACCCTGACAAACGACCGATTATGTGCTGCCAACCTGATTGAATCCAACCTTTGTCGGTTCTGTCATGTCAAACCTGAATCCATGCCACATTGGATTTTCGAGTGTGTTGATGCTTTACCCCTTGCTCAACCCCCATGTCATGAATTTGGTGAAAACTTTGCCATGTTAGGAATCTGTGAGCATCCAATTGGCATCTGTAAGCATCGTTTGCAGTTTACATCCATTCATGATGACGTGTGTGCTGTTCACAATCCATATGCACCTCGTGCTTCCCTATGGACAGACGGCTCCGTGTTCTACCCTGAGTCATTCTGGCTTACCACGGCAGGATGTAGCGTGGCCAACGAGCAAGGAGCTTGCATTCATGCCGAAAGAGTTTGTTGCCCGGTTTTGACTTCATACACCGCGGAGCTTTTTGCCGTCTATAGAGCATGCTTACACGCAACATGCAATATTGACATCTTCTCCGACTGCAAATCTGTTGTTGACCAATTTAATATTCTCATTGCTCAGCGTTGTGTTGATCCTTCCTGGACAAATTCTTGCTGGTGGCGGGCTATCTTGCAGATTTATTGTTCGAGGGATATGAATGAGTGCCAACCTGTGCGTTTGTTCTGGATCCCCTCACATGTTGGGGATGACGTACCTGACTTCCTTATTTCTCCCGCCTTTGCTGCTGAACATGGCACGACAGTACAGCACATCTTATGTAATCGCAAAGCTGACCTTGCTGCCAAGAAGATCGCTGCTGCCTCTCTTCCTGTTGAGGTACAAATGTACACACAGATGAAACAGGCTATTTTTGCACGACAACATTTTCTGGCTCGATTGAACGAGTTATCAACTCCGGAAGTTCCTGCAACTGCAGTTGTTGAGGAGATTCCAGTGTGTGAGGATGCAACTTCCCTCCGACGGAAGTTTGGTCGTTGGAACTGGAACCAGAATCTTGCTGACTTTCCATGGCGTTTTGAACATGTCTTAGACATTTCGACTCCGTGGTTTTCACAGCACTCTTCAAATGACATTACTACTTTCATTCGATTTGCCCGTGCTTTAGCATGGAAAGTTGGTGACGCTTTTTGCACATCCTATATGGAACTTGCATTCTTATTTCAGAAACGAGGATACACCCTTGAAGCTTGTTGTGGCGATGATATTACTTTTCGGGATCTTTCCTTTTGGCTGCGCAGGATCTTTGTTCACATTGGCAAAATTCCTGACCACCAGGTGTTTCCCGGTTACACTTGTCTACAAACCAGGAAATCTGAGGGGCGATCGTTCCCCCAGGGCGCGATTGTTGGTGCCGTTCCTTTCTTTTCTCCTGCCGAACTTCATGGTTTGGCTCAGATGATGGACGCTGGCTGTTCAAAGTTGCTTTCCTCTTGGGAAATTCCCTTGACTGGATCCGGTTGATTTCTTGTGTGGTTCTGGTTCGACTTGGTCATCCTTTTCACTGTACAAATTCCGCTGTGAGACCATGAGTGTCCGCAGTGATGCGCGTCGTGTCCTAACAGGGGACTTCATTCAGGACAGACCGCAATGGGAGGTGATGAAGAGGTTTTAACAATCCAACCAAAAAGAGGGTGTTATTAATCACGAGTCTCAGTATGTCTCAGTTTCTTCCGGTGAGTCTGAGCTGACAAGCCCCAGTTTGACAAGCCGTAGCCTCGGTCCGACGCCCCTGGCCAAACCCTGCATTCACTTCAGGGCTCCCGGCGCCCCGCGAACTACAAAAAGGCAGCCAGGGGTCAAGAAGTTCTGAGCTGTTGACTGCGTTGATGGTTCTGCATCACATGAGTCTCATGTGATTGACTTGACTCTGTCTAGCAAGTTGGATGCATTGGAATTCATGAATCTGTGAATCTCATGAACTGGTGATCCCCAAAGAAGTGTGGGGGGCTGTGGGGCTTTGGGTGTGAATGCTGTGACAGATCATGCGTCAGGTCAGGTGGGTGGAGAGGAGGACCTATGTGGAGGTGTGAAGCCAAAGGGCGTAAGTGAGTGAGTGAGTGAGTGAGTCAGTCAGTGAGTGGGGTGGGGAGTGAGTGAGTGAGTAAGTGAGTGAGTGGGTGTAGGAGGAGGAGAGCAGCTGGCTCAGTCCACTAAACAGTTTGAGCCCCAAATGCACGCTGGGCGATGGTCAGACAACCCCCAAAGGCCACGTGTAATCCGCAATCGTTCAGGTCCAGTCCAGCTGCCTATCACTATGGGGCCACTTCAACAAGGGTGACCATGGTGACCCAATCGTTTCAAGATGTGAAGTCTCACTATGTGAAGAAAGCCATGAAATTATATATATATATTATACAAAAATGCAATTGTATGCAATTGTGATCTTCAAGAATGTTTTGGAAACTGTTCTATCGTTTTGGTGGCTAAAATAGACTGATCGCAAATGTCCGTGTGTCCTCTTCGGCCAGTTCTTTTACAGCCCAGCAGCTTATTTCTAAAACAACATCAGACCCGTTCTTCACACCCACATCGAATGAGTTCGCACACGGCTTTCGTCTGGGCTTCAGAGTGGTGAGGTCCCCAAGCTCCCCAGCGTTCCCCAAACTCCATGATTCCATGGAATCGGTCGCCGTTTTAGATGAGATCTCGGCCTCCTGGGTCCGTCTAGATCTGTCTGGGTCCTGCTGGGTCTGGTTCTTGAGAATCTGGGCCCCCAGGCGCCTGGCCCATCCGCGTCCGGCCCTGGGCACGGCGCCAACGGCTGGGCCACTTGACTTTGGAGCAACCGCAAAGGGCATCGCTACTAAGGACACTAGGAGCAAGAAGGCTACTAGTAGCTCCTGGCATTACTACTAGTAACAAGAAGCTACTAGTAACAAAGGGCATCGCTACTAGTAAGTGCACCTCCTGGCATCCCTGGCGAAGTTCAAACAAATCAACGAGGTGACGAGCACGGACTTGGTGGAGCAAAGATGAGTCATTGGTGCACACCTAAGAAGCACACCCACCACGCAAAGGGTTGAACCTTGGAACTCACTTGCCTGGGGAATCTCAAGATACTTTCCTAAATCTCACCATGCAGGGGCAAAGAATGCCAATCACATCCGGAAACTATTCTTTGCATTCCTGTCCTGGCTATCTGGGGCCAACTCAGTCAACGGTTTCTTGGAGGAACGTGATGGAGCTAAAAGCGAATCGCCCAGCTGGAGTGATCATCGCTTCATAAAACAACACGCATGATCAAAAAAGGCCTATATACCCCACAGTCATTCAAGTCATCACCCGAGGCCGTCCAGGATGGGGGCGGGTGCCCCGGGTTGCGAAACCAGAATACATCAGAAACTCTGAAACCACAAAGCTGCCTGCGCTTTATCCTGCACGGCCTATGCCGTTTTCGCGGATGCAAATCTGACGAGTTCTCAGGGTTTCACCACAGATTCAAAAATTTACAGAAAGCTCCTGTGCCAAATGTAAGAACAATAGCAAAGTTCATAGAAACGTTTTATGGATACCCATGTGATTTTCGAGAGGGCATGTTAACAGTGATCCCCTGTCGTAAGGTTCTTACGACCTCAGTCAGTCTGCTATCTGTTATAACACTGTTTGACACCTTCAATCCATCAGATCGTTTTCCCAAGAACCATTGAATAAATTCTTAATGGTTTGGTCTTCATTTGGTCTCAGAAAAACTCCGCATTCGACCGCAAAAACGAAAAGAGCGTCTAGCAGCTAGCCTCTATGATTGAAAGCTTCCGGCCGGACATCACAAACGTGGGAAACCCATCACACAAACGCGGGGCTTTAGCCCAAACGAAATCACGGCGCCTTTTGCTCGACCCGATGCAAGGAGTTGGCGGCACATCATGACCACGGTGAATCATGTGAAACCGTGTCACTCCTCCATGTCACAACAGTGCACCAACCCTAAAGACTCTGCCTGGCTGCCTTGAATAGATTCTGCATTGAGACCCTTCTACTTACTTGATCCTCCAGTTGGTCCGCACCGGCCGAAGGCCGCCGAAGGCCCCACCCGCTGGAAGTCTCGACGTCCCCACGTTCGCGGGACCGTCGCGAAACGTTCGGCTCGGTCGCGGTCGCGATTGCAGTTCGTTCGGCGAATGAACTCGCCATGGATGATCCGTGGATCGTGGAGATCTCTTTTCCCTCATTTTCCCTCTAAAATTCTATTTTGGGGGGTGGGGTGGACCCTGCTTCTTGGAATATCTTCTGCAATCCGTGCCGATCCGAATCGGTGGAATAAATCCATCGCCTTTTTCTTCGGCTGCTGGTCAAGGTGCTGGGGGAGAGGCCACAAGAACCAGCAACGTCCTCCATTCTTTGCAAAACCCAAGCAAAAACGCCACTAGGAGCAAAGGGCATCGCTACTAGGAGCAAGAACGCTACTAGTACAGTAACCGTTTGGTCAGATCATTGGGCGACGCTCTCCCGAAGCACGAGCGACCCAGGCCGAGTCCCATGGGGTCTGTGCAGTGCATTCGCTTGCACCCTCAAAGGAAGGAGGACCATCGAGGATTGTTTTGCCTAGGGCCCCAGGGCTGATTTGAAAACTCTAGGCACTACCTAACACTACCAGGGCGACGTCCTGGCATGACCTGAACTTCATTGAACTGTGCACTTTTGGAGGTCATGGAACAGCTTGGAGGACCATTGGACACTCCAATCAATCACATCAACTCTTCTGGCTCCATCCAATGAAACCATCATACTCCGTCAATACTCCGTTGAACTTCTCCAACTCGTGCACAGCCCTTGACAAAGCGATAAAAACCTACCACCTCCGAAACAGCTAGGCGACGACCCAGGCACTGTACTCTGCATTCACTGTAGTGTATCATGCCTGGACCTGTCGTAAACGCTCACCTGGGATGACATGAGCATGAGGAGTCCCAAATGGCACGGCAGGTCAATTCGAGGTTGAAAAGATCAAGGGAGTTCATCTTCACTGAAACATGATCCCGCGGGCGGGAGTTGCCTTCATTTGATTTACAGTACCACGTGAATCAACATGCAACAGGAGCCCGAAAAAAAATCAAGTACCACCTGTTTTGGCGGCACGGATCAAAATTTGCCCAGCTTAACCTTCAACAATCCCATCAATTTTCCCAAAGGCCGGCAAAGCCGATGACAAGGGCTTCATGTTTTAGGTGCAAGTGCGATTTCACACAAGGGGATGGGCTGCCTTATCCATATAACCGTTGTTGCGAAAGACACAAGTTGGAAAAAGAACAGGAATGGAGCAAATTTGGCCAGGCAGCCAGTGATGGCACCACCGCCACCATGGTGGCATTCTCCGTCTCCTGAAAGTCACCGAGTTACACTCAGAGTGCCAGGGGAGGTCTTTGTTCAAACCTAGTGATCTCCGAGACGAACATGTGTTCATGAAAATTGATACGCTGATCCCGTCGAGTCATATCCCTTTCTGTCTTGGTGGGTGGGCAGCTTCGCTCTGAAAAGGCTGGATGTGCACCCAAGGCCGAACTCAGAAACCTACTGGAAGGTGGGCAAAGCTTTCCGAAAAACCGCTGGGTAATTATTCAATATTTATCTGAAGTTCCTGTGGTTTGAGAGTAATCCCAACACCTCAACCGTACTCCGTCGTCTACATCTCCGACTGCCCCGAACGGGACAAGTCAACCACGACCAGAACGACTGTCCTGACCATCCGTGACCCCGGAGTGAGTGTAGCTGCGGGGCGGCTGCTCACGGGGGACACCTGACATCGGTCATGAGCGCAAGGAAAAACCGCTGGAGGCCACACCGATCTCCAACGAGATTTTGGAGATCTTCCAGGAAACCTTGTAGCCATGTTGGTAAAATGATTTCAACCCCTGCGGTATCTGTCTCCGAGCTGCTTTGCCGCACGATGCGACCATCCATGCTCGTCTTGCGTCCTTGGTTGTGGAACAGGGTTTCAGCCCGCAACCCTTACCGTCCACGGGCCTATTAAAATGACTTGTGCCAAGGGTTCAATCCTCCTGGCCCAAAATTGAAAAATGTTGCACTAACCCCCAAATAGGTTGGTCCACCCTTTTTGGTGCATTTTTCTTTCAGTAATTACTAACTGTTTGCTTTTCTTTTCTTGGGGGCCAACCTCCACTTCCCAGACCACGGTTGGACCAGTCCCTCAGCCTATGGTACCTCAAGCGTCCAAACCATGGTGAGACTCGGTTACTTCTCTAACGATGTTGCTTGCCAGTGTTACCCGAACAAAATCTACAAACAGGCCAACGTTCTGCCGGCCCATTGGCGGGGATTCAAAAACCGCACAATTTTCCTATGCCAATGAGCCCGCTTCTTGCGGGAGACTCCCGAGAACGAACCCCTGAGCCTGCGTTGAACCTGAAAGATTCTCCAGGCTGCGTCTTGGTGTGGGGGATAAACCTACCACTCGCTGAGATCACATCCGCATGTTGCCAAAACATCACGACCTGAACACCTGAGATCTCCGAGGTGCGAAGAGCATTGGGAGCTCGGAGCTGGCGAGTACGAGCGCCCGTGGCGGTCGGCACCGTGACCACAAAAACCAATTACCGAGTGAAAACATTGTGCGATGCACACGTCCAACTCCACCATCTACATTTGTAGTTGGCTGAAGACTGGGTAGTTTAGTAATATAGATGCTTGCATGCACGCAGCATGCACGCATGCTACAGCAAAGCAAGCAAGCAAGCAAGCAAGCAAGCAAGCAAGCAAGCAAGCAGGGCAAGGCAAGGCAAGGCAAGGCAAGGCAAGGCAAGGCAA